GAGTATAAGATGAAACTTAGTTTTTGAGAAGGAAAATAAAAAATCTGCCTCTGCCTACCATCTGGCTAGCGTCCTTAACAAACAACCTGGTTAGCTTCAGCACATTAGCCTGATTCAGCATGAGCAAATGATTGGTGGGTGGTCTCCCAGAATACCCCCAATCAGCTGTTCTCAGAGGTGAACTTTAGCAATAGGTTTGCTGCTTATGAGCATGTGCAGCAGTTCCAGGTTGCCATTTTGGCCTCTGTGTCTTGCTTTTTCAGCTTCCAAATACTCCGTTTGAGACACTATCAAGGCTGGGGGATTACAAAGCATATCGCCGCCTGAAAATGTGATGTGCAAAGGACAAAAATGGGGTGTGTGAAAGTGGCAATCGGTGGCAATATGCTCTGGTGATACTTGGAGCCTTGAACGGGTCTCAAATGGAGTGTTCAGAGGCTGAAAACGCAAGGTACAGAGGCCAAAAACAAAGCCACGGAGGGGGCGATGGTCTGTGGCAATCCCTGCAGGCTGGAACAGGTCTAACATGCGATTTGTGGAGGCCGAAGGGTGGGGTTGGCGGGTGTGCATTCAGTGTATAAGATGCACCCAAATGTTCAGCCTCTTTTAGGGACGGGGAAGTGTGTCTTATACTCTGAAAAATATGGTATATTAATATAGTAAAGAAACCATTATAAACAACTCAGAGTGGTCAGACAAAATTAATTAGAAACCATATACCAAACATATACATACACCACATATATAGCTTTCTTTTACTTAATCTGAGGCAATGGAGAAAAAGGAGGTCTCTTCTGGTCCTATTGGATCTCTCAGCAGCTTTTGATACCAAAACTATGAGGTACAGGAGTTGGAGGCACTATTTCTCAGTGGACGGGGTAACAAAGTGAGAGGTTAGGCTCTTGCCTTCCCCTCCCCTACCACAATAAATGGTCTTACTTCGTCTATTCTTCAACTAGTGGGAAGTTCAGGGAAGAGTATCATCAGAATACTTCAGTTGGCTATCTAGTATGATATCCAACAGGATGCATATCAGTAGTGAGAAAAATAAGGTCCTGAACTCACTCAGGAAAAAAAAACATGCACATGTACAGGATATGTAGAACCTAGCTCACCAATGCCTGGGAGAGGATCTAGGTGCCTTGATGGACTACCACTTTAGCATGAGTCAGCAGTGTGCTGTAGCTGCTAAAACGTCAACACAGTTCTAAACTGCATCAACAGAAGGATAGTATTAAGATCACTGGAAGTGATAGTACTACTCTATAACGCACTAGTGAAACCACATCTGGACATTGCACCCAGAAAAAAATGCTGAGGTCCTGGAAAGACAGCAGAGAAGAGCACTGAAGACAATAAGAGGTCCACAGGCTAAATTATATGATGAACAGTTAAGAGAACTAGGTATGTTTAGTGTAACAAAGAGAAAGTTAGGGGAGATATGATAGAGGACTTCCAATACTTGAAGGACTATCATGGCCAAGAGAGGGTCAATTTATTCTCCAGAGCATCTGATGGAAGGACAAGAAGCAATGTGTAAAAACTAGTCAGAGGAATTTCTTGACAGACAGAACAAATAATCAAAGGATCAGCTTTCCTCCCAGAATTGTGGGTGCTCCATCACTGGAGATTTTCAATAATAGACTGGACAACCATTTGACCAGGATGTTATAAGGTCAGCTGCCTTGAAAAGAGAGTTTGACTATAAGACCTCTGAAGCCCCTTCCAGTCCCATGAGTCTATGTTCTGCTCTACGTACATTCTAAAATTGGTCTTAAAAATATGTCTTAAGCTGAATGGCCTATAAATAAAACACATAAGACAAACAAAAATGTTATACAATTATAGTACCTTATGAACCAAGTCACAACACACATCACGTTCCACTAATGATCTGGCCATAAGGGCTGGGGTAAGAAAGAGCTGGGAGGAAAGCTGTTTTATAGGCAGGGACTGTGATAAACAGGGTATCTGTCCTGGGTCTACATAGATGAAACTCTTTTATCCAAGACACTCAGAGCATATTTTCCTTGACAGATCTGATGGGAAGGAAAGTGGTCTTGCAAGTAATATATTTGCAAGTGAAAAAAAGCAACAACCAAAAATAAAGACTCCTGCTTTGGGCAGGGTATTGGACTAGAAAACCTTCAAGGTCCATTATAGCCCTATAATTCTGTGACACAGAATTTTATATTACCATCTTTGGATGGAGAGATTCTGTTGACATCATATCTCAACTCCTGAAGAACAGACTGAATAAGGAATTAAGAAGTTACAATTTGTCATTGTATGTTGAGACCTGTCAACCCCAGCATTATTGCTATATAGACAAGCAATGCCAGGAAGAAAATGATTTTTGATTTAGAGGTCATTCTGGACATATGACATGCTTGACCAGGAAGTATGACTAGGAGACTTTTGCACAATTTTCATTGATACATTTTATGACTTTACATGCCACAGGAGGATGAACTATAGCTTTTATCTTCATTATCACGCAACCATACAACCCAGTACACTTTATATGGCTACCTTTAAAGTCTTAATGGAAATTGTAATCTCTCAACAATGCAATGGTCTATATAATTCCTGACTTAAACCCTGTACCTTACTTTTCCCTACTTTTTGTTACTGATATGGTTTGGAGGAGAAAGAGGGTTTTTTTTTTTTGTAATTCAGAGTGAAATTCAGCAGGTTTTGATAAGTTCTGGAGAACTGGAAGCGGAAATTTTGAGTAGTTCGGAGAACCAGCAAATACCACCTCTGGCTGGCCCCAGGGTGGGGTGGGAATGGAGATTTTGCAATACCCTTCCCCTGGAGTGGGGTGGAAATGGACATTTTGCAAAATCCTTCCCCTGCCATGCCCACCAAGCCACCCCCACAGAGCTGGTTGTAAAAGAAATTGAATTTTACCACTGTTTTAACTGTATTAAAGTTTTAATTTTGTAATATTGTAACTGTGCAAGTTTTTGAGAGTGAAGTTTACATTAAATATGTTTTATTTTCAGTAGCCTTGAAACTTTGGCATTAACCTCATTCTTGGCAACTATTATGCCTTTTTAATTAGTTTTCATGAGAACAAAGCCAGAGTAATTTTACTTGGTCTTCAGATTTTCTGCACATTCATTCTTATTGATATTGTTATGCTGTTATTGCTTATATGTTTAATATTTGCTTTGGTTTATTATCATAACTGTTTGCATGCCAGAATAATGTATAATATAGGACAGCTTTACCCCCTGACTGTCCTATTTTAATAAGTAATCACAGAAATTTCTATTACCTGGAAAACGTATGCAGAAAACTTAAGTGTTCTGTGAACCATTGATACTATCTGTACTGAATTCATGAGAGCAAGAATATTAATGGCATATAAAAACAATATGAAAAACACTGCCTCCCCTCCTTTCTTTTTTACAATCAATACCTTTCAGAAGCCACATGAGTTTATCAATGATAGTTTGGATTTGTGTATCAGCATCTCTTCCAGTAGAGTTAAATGTACAAGTTGAAAGGTTATCCTTGACAAGAATTCATTGTAAAGTGGATGCTACTTTTTCACAACAATCTATTTTCAAATTAAATCAATATGAAAATTGTAAAAATTAGAAAACTTAGGTTTAAATATCCATGGCATGTAAAAAATATTCAGCATTCAGTAAACACATTCCAAAGCTCCATCGCTATTGTAATTTAAGTCTCAGTTCACAATAACAATAAGATAGCAGCTTTTGTTCCAGTCATAATAAATTTCCCTTTTGCCCAGATATAAATTATCTGCTTCAAAGCAGATCAAAACACTTCCCTGCAGTTATCTATTCTATACAAGAGGGGGGAAAAAACTTATTTAAAATGCAGTGGCTTCTGCCTTTTGATCGTTGTTGTTTGAGCTGTGATAACTATAAATAGCATGTCAATGTGTGTGTGCCTGTGTGCTCTCTTCATATACAAATATATGGAAGAAAATGAAGATATATATTTTTATTTTGCAATACATATATAGCAATGCTAATGGAAAAAAAGGTTTTTTTTCCAAACTATTTGTTTCCTAACACTGGTGTGTCCTGGAAAGTTCCAAAGTAAGGGTTTTTGGTTTGTTAATTTTTAAAAAAACCCTGCATGAGACACTATTTTCAAGATTAAAAAATCCTATATAAACTATTTCTACCAATACTTTCAATTTGCTGTAAAAAGTAAGTCTAAGTATCTTACATCCTCTAAAATAATCCCTTTTTCCCCATTTGAGCAGTTTAGTTCCCTATAGTTTACTTAAAAGTACATACAATATTTATCTGAAATACATCTATCTACCAAGATACAGCTTCCTCAAATTCCTTTAAATTTAAATTAGTTTATGTAATGTTTTTCAATCTAAATGTATGGCTCAATTTCATTTGTTCAACAGAGATTATACACTTACAAAACAATTCCGGAAATTAAATTGCCTAGTAGGTCTACTAATTCTACAAACTATTTCAACATAGCTTTATAATAAGAGCTTTAATAACGCATATGAACACCCAAAACCACCTATATATTTAAACCTAGTACAAGTCAAACTGAAAGCGAGAAATATTTAGACCAAAGGGCAAGGGACCCAACCCAGAAAGTAGCATGACTACTAATTAACACCAAGAATATTTTGGCAATCACGGGGCAGAAGGTGAAGGGGCAGGGTGGACAGTCATGGAGGGAGGGGGAGCTAATACATAATTTCGCCAAGAATCGTGCAGGTAATAATAATAATAAAAATGGGAGTTTCGAGATCTAACTCGTTAAAATACAGCTGAATTCCCCAAAAGCTCTCAGGAAACCCTGGAGACAAGATAAGATGAGCCTCTGACATCAGAAGTGGGCTACACAACCGAAGGGAGCTATAGGAAGGAGTATATCTTTTGAGAAATTAAGGGAATCTCTGTTGCAAAAGGCGCGGCAACCCCACCAATCACAACAACAACAACATAAATACATAAATAAAAGCAGGTTTCGACCTCACTCACCGTCCACTGTCTTCTTCTTGAAAAGTGAAGCCATGGCGGCGTCCCCAACACCGAAACCAGTCGAGACGCCGGCCTCTTTCCTGTAGTTCTCAGGTGACCAGGAAGCTGCTTCAGCGCAGAGACCGAACGAGGAAAAACCCGCCTCCCTTACTTCTGAAAACGCCAAGGCCGTGCCAGCTGGGAGCCAGCGAACGGCAGCGCTGGAGGTGGAGCTGGAGTCGGGCTAGGCTGGGAGGCGTTTCTGCCGCCGCGTTCGCCCCTCGCCTGCCTTTCCCAGGGCTGCGGCTTCAGCTGCGCGCAGTTTTTGGCGTGCTAAGAGCGCGCTGAGCGTCAGCTGGCTGCTGCCGGGCTGCTGTTGGTCCTTTTAAGCGCTAACCCGCTTCTTGTACGAGCACAGCATATTTTGGAAGGTTGCGGCGGCTCCCAAAGCACCCTCCCTCATCCCTTTAACTTCATTCTCCGTCCTGAACAGGAAATATTGCCGAAAAGCACATTCGCCTGACATATGTATTTATTTTACAAAGAAAGGAATGTAACAACCTGTAAAATCAGGCTTCTTTATAATTCCTTGTAGCAATAGCTTAAAGATAGGGGGTGGGGTGGGGGCATAAACCTTTAAAATGGATAAAATAGCAGCTGATAGATGATGGGTTCAAGAAACAACATTTCCAGATCTATGTTTACCAGAATTCATAAGTTATCCTGTACAAAACTCTTTTCTTTTTTAATGTAATGTAGCTACCTCCGACTACCTAATTGTACAATAGCTCCCCCCCCAGATGTTTAAATATGTTAGTTATCCATGATTAAAGCATAGATTTAGTAGGTACTTGAAGGTTACAGTAATGCACAGTGTGATCATAATGGTAATGGAAGCTGTGCGCATTCCAAGCAGCTATTCTGCCTGGTGATATAAATATTTTGTGCATTGGGTAACCTTGTATTGACTATACATTCTTGAAAGAGCAGAATTTGACAAATGGCCAGCAGGACCTTTAAAAAAAAATCCTCTTTTTATACTTATAAATAATTAGATTGAGAATACAGTTTATATGATACTAAGGAATTGCCAACTTTATTTGTAGAGGCACTAAGATTCTTGTTTATCTTTTGCCATATTATATGGCAATGGTTTCTGTAAATACTTATGTGAATCTATACAAACACTAAGGTATGCAACAAACCAATTGATTTAAAATGGTGATATAGAAACTTAATCCATCCAAATATATCAGTATAACCAAGGAAAAAGTTGTATAATATTACTCTTTGACATCATATGTTACTGAAGAACTTTGAATACCATGATGAAATTATAAGATCACCAAATATGAATTACCATACTGTAATTTTGAGGAAATAAAAATATTATTTTTAAATGATAGTTATGTTCATAAATGATATACTTTGTCTTTCCAAATAAATAGTAAATAAATGTAAAGTCTAAAAGAGAATTATATTTTTAATGTAAATATATATTTTCTGCAATAAACACATTTTAATAACATCCACTAACATATATAGGCATATTCCAAAAAGGTAGTATTTTAAGCTAACTTTTTTTAAGCATAAGTAAAATATACTTTGTTTTAAAAGTATACTTTTAAAGCTATACATTAAAAATCATTGCTAGTGTTCATTCTTTTTTTTTTTAGTAAGAAACATTTAGCCATGTTTTCAAAATACCTAGAGAACAAAATTCCATCCTTAATGCATGTAATAACATCATTACCTTAGAATTAGACACATCGTTTGAAGTCAGCTTCAATAATAGGTAGCCTTTTCGTGTTCTGATATCTGACTGCTTTCTTGATACTTCATGACATTTCTGGTTCTTGTCTGTATCCAAAGTTGAACTTTTCATATTATTTTGCAGGATCCTTGAAACCATCTGATTGAAATTATAGCTTTGTAGTTAGTTACCTTTATTTTTAACATTCGTATCTAGCCAGCCGTCCTATTTTAAATCTTTTATGTAAGCCTGAAGTGTATTGCCAATTCCACACATCCTGAAGTGCATTCACCAAGAGAACTATTCCAATAGATATACAGGACAAGTCTTTCTTCATATTCTTTCACTTCCTTTTCTGTCTCAGGCTCATAGAACCATTTCAATATAGTTTAAAGCATTAACCACTGAAGTACTCTCTAGCTTCACGAATCTGCCAATTCAAGTACTGTAAAAAGGGAGTTGCTAATTCTTACTTCATTTCAGCTCCATTGCTTTGCATGTTGTGACACTGCACATGTGACAATGAAGGCTATTACGTAAGGACAGTGAGCTAATTCTTGATAATCAAGGTTTATACTTATTTAAAGGAAATATCATAGGCTTTTGTATCATTTTGGTGTTCCATTTGTGGAATCTTCTTTAATAACATGCATTTGCTGAATCAATCTTTATAAACTCATTTCCTACAGTTTTAGGTTCTCTTCAAACAACTGACAAGTCCTGATTATAATGACATCTTTCTTCCCTTTTCTCTCAACTTTCTTTTTTCATATTTTGCAGATTGATTTTCATTCATTTTCTTATATAACTAAGCCACCTCAATGTACTTTTTAATACTTCTATATTCAAACTACATTTAGTAAACACCTATAGATTAGGACCCTTGATTTCTTGTTCTACCACAGGAGGTTTTTATGAAAACATTCACACTACATCTTGTTTGACTGGTTTTTTGTGATATGCCCAAGTATTCCAGCTACAGTGTGGACAGAAGCATTCTCACACACAACCAGGTTTGTTTTTTTCTGACAAATAGTAATCCCTCACAAAATGCCATATACTACCCACTAGCATATGTGCATCTGAAAATTTCTCTATTCATTGTTAGCAAACATTTTACTAAGGCAGACAAGTTCATTTGTTTACTCTAGTTTTTAAAATAACATTCTAAACCCATCCACATTTTATCATTTACTTAGTTAGATGACATACCTGCAGTCTTAATGTTTTCAGTATTCTAACAACTGATTCATACTTTCTTGCAGTTAAGCAGTGTTTTCTAAACAATTCTTCTGCCTGAATTGCCTACTGGAGTGTGACAAAAGGACTTTTGGGGATTTAATCATTGTGAAGCATTTTGAAGTCAGAAATATTCAAGTTCAAGGATAAAATGATACTTCTTTACAAGATAATGCTAACACTTCTATATAGAGAGTTTTATGCTGTATTTTTCCTGGCATATTGTAATAATGGAGTGTTTTACTAGAAGCAGAGAAACTTATGTACAAATGTACTTAGCCATGAAGTTGATTGGAGCCCTTGGGCTAAGTACTGAACATTTCCAGATGGTGATTTGATGTGATGCAAATTTCCAATTCCCCAACATCCTCAGATAATCTATTTTGATTTTTTCTGACTTGTTTCTAAAATGAATGAAATTTGGTATCCAGCAGTTTCAACTTGGGTTTATAGGCATCTGTTTTCCAGTTGGAAGATACTTAATGCTGTGTCGCTTCTCAACAAATAGATTATGTTTTATATAGCCCATTTTAGTATCCTGCTGGGACTTTTGGTCCTGGGGAAAAGCCCTGAAATTCATTTTTTTTCCTACTGTGTTAGTCTTGCTGGGTTGCTATATATGTATATTTCCATTCTAGCCAGAATGTTACTTTACCATACAATGACACTCTGGTGAATGGTAAGTTCCTGTGGCTTCTGAATACGTTTGTTAATTGCTTTTAAAAATGATATTCCCCTTCCGGCCTATTGGAAGGATCATTTTGCAAACTACCAGTCAAGTTTGCAGAAATATATGTGGACAAATTGCAACTATTATTATAACACATTGATATTGTGTGTTTGGGGTCAGGAATGCTAGTAATGTGTTACTTTTCTTGTCAAAAAATGCATGAAAAGCTGTCTGTTAATTCAATAGAGCACTAAAATGTGTTTCTGTATGTCTTACTGGTTAGTCATCTTGAAACAAAGGATGTGCACCGTTTATTTGGCATTTTGCTCAGCAATTGGTTACTATCAAATAAGGTATCTCTGCAAACTATAAATTTGCAATCATATAGATAGTATCAGGCTAGAAATATTTGAGATTTGTGTATGAAGATAAATATAGTATTACAGATTGATTTTAAACTAATTTTGAATTTCTTAGATAATAAGACTTACCATGTGAAAGATGTAAATTCATAGTTGTACACATACATTAGCAATAGCACTTAGACTTATTGTATTTTTTGGACTATAAAACGCACTGGAGTATACGATGCACCAAGATTTTGAAGAGATAACTTTTTAAAAAAAAGTTTTTGCATTCTTCAGGCCTCTGCAGGTCAGTTTTATAGAGTGTTCCTGGGGGCATTTTTTGCTCACATTTGCCCCCCCCCCAGCCCCCAGGAGCACTTTGCAGGCCTCCCAAACCCTCTGCACATTCATTTTTGTGAAGAGAGCAGGGTTTCAGGAGGCCAAAAATACTTTATTCATGTGTATAAGTCGCATCCAGATTTTCATCCTTTTTTGGGGGGGAAACAATGCATCTTATACTCTGAAAAATATGGAGTATTTTATATTTGTAAAATATAAAAAAGTATTTATAATGCTTTACGTGCTTTACAACCCTCTCTAAGCAGTTTAAAGAGTCAGCATATTGCCCTCAACAATATGGGTCCAATCTTAGAACTACTAATTGATAAATATAGATTAGGATAGATATATAGATATTTGTGATCTTTGAAAAAAGCTTTAATATTTAAAAAGAAACTAATCCTATTGTGTTAATTGTTTTTAAGCCTAAAATAAATGATAAGTGGTATATTTCTAATAGTGATCAACTCATGATTTTTGAGTACACATCGTCATATTCAATGTTCAAATTTGTGAGTATACAAACATTGTTGCAAAATTGCTTTTGCAAATTGCTTTTCTTGATATCAATCTCCTTATGCATTTGTTTCCGTACAGCTGCATATTTGTATTCAAAGATGTTTAAGAGTTATTATTTGAAGAAAACACACAATACTTGCTGAAATTACTTGAATTACATTATATAGCTATTAGAAAAACATTAGGAAATATTTTATATTTCCATTAAAGATTTTTTCCCTTCCTCTCTGATTAGATTTTTAAAAATAAACTAATACTGAACTTGTAATAGTATAAATTACAAGGACTTATAATAATCATTTCCCATTTAATGGAAATTCTAAGAAGTATAATGAAATTCAAATCTCATGGAAATATATATATTTAATATGGCTTGGGAAAAACCATAAATATGTTTTTTTTGTGGCAATTTGTTAAAAATCTAAATAAATGCTTTGCAAAGTTGTTGTGATGGCTTATGGTGAGTCCCCCTGCATTGTTCTGCTAGGTTTATATCAGATAGGCATACAGAGGAAATA